TCTGCTGAAGTGACAGTCTCATAAGAAAGGTGATCTTTCACAATCTTAAGACCCAGAAATCTCACCAATTCCTTGAATATCTTCAAGGAATGTTGTATAATGCAAAGTCTAATTAAATATAAAAGCCAAAATTTAAGCTTTTTTCAGTTTCTATAAAAGCTGTGTTTGATGGGCTGGGGGTACAGCTCAGGGTTAGAGCACTTGCATAGCATGAACAAGGTACTGTGTTCCCCCTCCACCCCCAGTACTGCAAAACCAAAATCACGTATTTGATTCCCAAAGGTAGTAATCCATTATGAAAGCAGCTTTTCAAGGGATGCAAATGCTCCACTGAAAGATTTTTCAAAGAAATAATCAGTACACTACTGTGGGGAAGGCAGTAAGTGCAATTTTTAAAAATATCTTCCATCTTATTCTAGAAGCACAGCATAATGCAACAATCCTGAATAAATCTGACTTGCATCATCACGGATCTCTAGGGATCAGGGTTCAAGACTAACCTCCCTCTGTGCCAGCTTCTGTTTGTCAGTTTGTTTAACTTTGGGACTGTTTGCAAGGAGGTGGCGGAGTTTCACGTAACTCTTCCATAGTTTCTGGTACCTAAGGAAAAGGACAGAAAAACATCTTACACAAAGAGAAGGCAAAGCTAAAGTGAAATAAAACCAGTTACTTTAACAGGCCTGTGCTCAATCACAAGTGACATTCCTTTGAGTATCTTCAAGGGCAGTAAACCTTCATTCTAAGAAAGGACATGGTTTTTGGGATCAAAAGAAAGGATGGCTAGGAGTCATCTGGAACCTGGTGGGTAAGCAGATTATTGCTTCTTTGGACTAAAAATGAGGTGTGACAATGAGCAAAAATCGCACCAGCCAATGGAAACATCCTTTTTACACTGCTATCAAGTGGGAGATTTTATTTAAATAAAAATATTTCTTTTGTTGAAAGAAAACACCTTCGTTAGTAGGGACAGTCAGCTAAGGAATATTAGAATGGAGAATCCCATTTGTGCTGACACCCAAGATACACATGTGTATCCAATTTCGACTGGAGAGGGGGAAAGACAAATGGTGTGTATCAACTTGTATTTGCCATAACAGAAAAAAAAGCCTATTTATTGCACCCAAATATGGGATAACTTGGATCAGTCTAACGGCTACTGTTCAAGCATCCTGCGGATGAAGAGAGTACGCAGTCCTTTATCAATTCCCAGTCCTGTCATCTTGAGAGCTGATGAGAGCCTAATCACATTCTACTAACATTTTTCTGACAAGAAGGGATTTGTAAAAAGATTTTCTGTCACACTGAAGCTGCTCCTTTTTTGGCCTGAGTTGGGCCTCTCCTTTTTAAGTATCACTTTTTTTTAAAGAATGGAGGAAAGAAAGAAGTACTTACACACTGCCTGGTTCACTGCTTCATACTTTTATCCAAAGGAGGAAAAAAAAAACAAAACCCTTTAGCCTCTTCTAATATACGCCAGCCAGAACTGTATTGATTAACTGAAACTCTCCCATGCCTTTTTCTCCCATTATGAATCCTTTTTTTTTTTAATTAAGGCAGGAAATTATTTGCTTAACAAGATACAACATCTAGACAGTCCTGAAGAATATAACGACACTATCTTCATTCCCACACATTCTCATCTTCTCCCAGCAAAACTCTAAAGTGCCAAATGGAAAAATCCAAATGTGCAAAGCAACATCAATTCAAAGAATAAGAAGCCATGGCTTCTACTATCAATACAACCCTTGACTCTGCATGAAACCTTCATCTCTTTTAAGACGTCCCCCAAAATAGACCTCCGTATATTCAGCAGAGCTAGGAGTCAACAGGGTGCTACTTTTCTCTAGAGGACACTGAAAAAACAAAAAATAGTAACAATCATTACAATGATGAATAAAGAAAAGCTCATCATACAGGACTCATGTCTATCTAGATTGTCAAGAATAATGTATTGAATAATAATTGCTTGCACTTCAACAGGGGGAGAAAATCATGTTTCAAATACGAAAAGTGGTCTCATTTGGTAATCTGAGTATGAAAATGTGGCTCATTTCAGGTCTTAATTTTTGAAAAGGAGAAATGTGCACTAAAAGGTAATCCTTTGCTAATTCAGTTGTTAGTAGAAGGTGAAACCGGCTAAGACAAACACTGAGAAATATCTTACTGTGGGTCTCCTGCATAACTCAACTGTGCAGGGCGTATCCCAAAATGGACAATAATTGGAAAAGTAATCACGTCGGGATTGAACTGCTCACGATCCAGTTGATCAATGCGGACAGAACTTGGTTTCTAGAGGAAAAACAAAACAAAACCAAAGCCATTTATTCCCATAATAAGTCTTTTAGGTATTGACTTTAACCTAAGTAGGAAAAGAATGAATCCGATTTTTTTCCCTAGGAAAGTCTTGTCCCCAAAGCGAAAAATGTCATTTAATACCCTTTAATCATAGCAGCTATACTATATAAAAACTGTAATGTCAGCCTGGCAAATAAGTCTACGCCATTTGGCATTGTGAACAATGATTTTATCCCTTTTTTGCAGTCTACACAGAAATCTTTAAAAATTAAACTTTTAAAAGGACACCTAGTCAGATATAACTTTTCCTTAACCTCTGCAAGGCACAGGGGAAGGATTTCACATCCCAGGGAGAGATGTGCAAGCTTATTCTGCTTTAATTTCACATTCCACATGAATAGCTTACTGCTCCTTCAGGTTCATAAAGAGATGCCTCTATTTAAATCCTCCTCCCATTATTTCTCAGGGTGCCCTGCATATTTCTTTTAATTCTACACCTTTAAATTAGGAGGTATTGTAGAAAAAAAAAAAAAGTCGAATAGCTTTTTTTTATTATATCCAAGGAGAACATTTTTGTATTTTAGCAAAGAGCCTCGAATGTTTTTTTCTTCATGTCTAATAAGGGAGAAGTGAATGGCTGCTTCCTTCCAGGGTATTTGTAAAATGTCTTTCATTGTGAAAGTTAAAATTCATGAAAAGATGGTGAAATCATGAAGAATACGGTTTAGTAGCCTTCTTCCTTAAAAACTCTCAGGGCAGTCCCTAATGAGTGGTCCAGTTCACACTAGCAGATTGCGGGGTTTTCGGCTCAGGTGCCTTAGTGGCCAAGGCTGTAGATAGAACTGAGGCACACAGAGGCCAATAAGCTTTGTTCTATCTCACAACAATGTCCAGCAACTAGTTTAGCTGCTGGTTGGTCTGCTTTGTCTGAGGCAATCGGACTGCAATGCTAAAACCAGGAAAGCATCCTGTAATTAGGACAAGTGGTGCCCTATGTGTACAACGGTGGCCCTCGTCAGCCATTTATCACATCTAATTAGGTGATTTAAAAGTACAGGTGCATAGTTTTAAAAGAACTCAGTTTTTAAAACCATTTAGATGTCATGTAATAATCAAAATTTCACTGGTATTTCGAGAAATTTGCCTCTACTCTCAAAATTAGTGGGGAAAAAATGTTCACACCTAATAAAAAAATTATTTAAATGTACATTAACACTATAATGTTATTTGATCTAAGCATTATGCTCATTATTTTGTGCATCAAAGTTGCAGGCTACATTTTTAAAAGAGGTTAGATTTTGCGCAAAGAATATTACTGACTTATTCATGTTTCTGTGACTTTAAACACCATGCGATGGAATCAGTACAGTACACAATGATCTAAAAAACCTACACCGTAGCAGCCAGGAACAGTAACACGAGCCTGTGGCCGCTCTGAAGGCCAAGGCAGGCAGAGTTCGAGAGCAGCCCGGACAATGTAGCAAGAGATCTACAGCATCTCTAAATTAAGAGGGGGTTGGGGAAAATGAATTCTAGACTCTGGCCTTATCCTGCAATATCTATCATACTATCTGTCTGTGTGAGAATAAAAACAGCCTCGCTAATGACCAAAGTATTCCCTGGCAGAGGCAGAGTGCACAGGGAGGAAGATTAATTCTTTTAAGTTCTGCAACAATAAAGTATTTAATGTGACCATAATGGCTTGGAAAATTTAATAAATTTCCCAGGATTCTTGCTATTGGGCAATGTTTCAAAGCAAGTAATGCAGAGGATGAAATAGTGTCAGTTTTACCTTGCCATAATAGTAACTTGGACACTTTTCAAGGGGATGCAATGAAAAGATGTTTTCCTGATACTAAACTGTTTTAAATATTAAAAAAGAAGGAACTTTTACATGCTTCTCAATCTGACTTCCCAATCTACCTTTTGGAAAATTGTAATTTCTGATTATGTTCCATTATAAACCTTTCCATTATGAGTAGTCTTCTCACTATCTTCGAATGGCTTTAGGTCATTTCAAGGTTGTACATTAATTGTGCCAATAATCAATACAACTTCTCCATTTCTCTGAGACCTCAACAGTGTTTATGAAGGCTTTCTGGCAAGCCTGGCCCACGGATCTCTGCTGAGGTTCCAGGCTTTACAGACGGGGCCCTGGATTAGCACTCATCCCAGACTACTTTCAGATATACATGTCCAGGATCATACCTCGGCTTCACTAGCACTGACACATACAGCGATCTCCAGCAGTCAGTGGTTGAATGATGGTACCAGGTACATGTCATCTGTGCCGCTGGCTCAAAAACTGACAAAGGGTAATCAGAAGTATGTGGGAACGTCTTTAACCTGCAAACTCCTAGGCCTCACTGCCTAAGCGTAGTGCTTGCTTGTTTGGGCTTTTTTTGGATGGTATTGGGGATTGAACCCCCGGCCTTTGCACTGAGCTACATCCCCAGCTCTTTGACTTTTTATTTTGAGACAAGTTCTCACCAAATGGCTAACTTCCCCAGACTGGGCTCTAACTTGTTATTCTCCCACAGTGCTCCGATTACAGGTGTGTGCGCCCATGTGTGGTAGATTTAAAAACTGGTGGTCAGCTTAAACACCAGCTGAGCTGAATCAGCGTGGTGCTGAGTGTAGACAGCCCACCTGAGGAAAGCTGCCAGCATAAAAAGGAGACTTGGAGAGGAAGAGTTGCATTGTGGGTGCTCCTCAGTGGTGGGTTTTGGAGCCAGTGGGCCTCCTGGAGGAGCTTTACACACTGGCTTCCTGGTCCGAACTCAGCTGTTATCACTGGAGGAGTTTGGGACCCTGTTGCTGAGGATGCCTGTGGTACTTTTTTGGGGAGCCCTGGTCCTTACTTTGAGCATCACTTCTTGGCTCCAGTGCAGAGCCCTGAGCCTCACTGGCATAGACTTTTTGGCTTCCACTGCTGACCCTTGGGCCTTCCTAGCACAGATTCATGAAACAGACTTCCATGAGTCATTATCGTGGGCTCTAGGCCTCCAGTTGGACTCGTGGGAGGCATCATCATGGGTCTTCAGCTGAACTCATGCAGGATATTGCCTCGAGATCCAGGCCCTCGGCTAGATTCTCTGGGCCTTTAGTGTGTGGACAGATTTTTGCACTTTCTTTGTATTTGACTTTTTGGGTGACCATTATAAATAATACTATAAATTCTGTGTCCCATATGTAATTGTTCTCCTTAGAGTCTCTGACTACAACATTATGCCTTTTTTTTTTTTCCTAGATTTCAAAAGACCTTAACTAAGCTATGAAGGAATCCCAGAGTAAAGGTGCTCCCAAAGTGTTTGCTATAGAACAACTAAGATAAAAATGTAAGTCTTTTACCACCATCTTCTTCTGACTCAGGTCTGAAGTGACAGAATAAAAACCCATGTAACTGTTTAAAGAAAAATAAAATTTGTAGTCTTACTCGCATAGAGCTACTATGTATTTCTTTTAAAGTTACTTTAATAATTATTTGTGTGGCTTAATAGTGTAACACTAAAAATTGCATTTTTTTTTTTTTAGTTTGAAGCAAGTCTTGTGTTTAAACATATTTTTATTAAATAATTTCCCTGGATTTGTTTAAAATCATCAGTATTAGAATGTTTTATTTGCAAATAGCAACATTTTGTTTGTGCAGATGTTAACTGTCTTGCTATGAAGAGCAGATCCAGTTTGTTTTATGAATCAAGGCTATTAAACAATTAACAGCTTTAAAAAACAAAAACAGCTTTGTTTAAACAGCTTATTCTGTTTCTTTACATAAATGTATTTTAATTCTCCATTTCTACAAAATTTATCTTAGTAAGATGCCAATATATAATTATTTTATGAAACAGTAACAAAGCAAAAATTTCCTAATATTCAGAAAGTTCTTTGTTTTATATGAGAGAATAAGGGTACTTAGTTTTCTCCTGGTAGTAAGGATTGAACTAAAGGCTTTGTGGATGCCAGCAAAGTACAGTAATTTTCTTTTTCTTCAAAGACATGACCTCACTAAGTTGCACAAGCTACCCTCAAACTTGCAAATCCTCCTGCCTCACTCCCCAACCACCTGGGATTACAGGTACATACCACTGTGCCTGGCTAGAATCTACTTTAAAATATGTAATAATTTAGAGGCAAATAAAAGTATTAAGTATTTATAATATATTCTCTCTCTGTCTCTGTCTCTCTGTCTGTCTCTGTCTCTGTCTCTCTCTCTTTTTGACCGGGTCTTGCGGCATAATCCAGATTGGCCTTAAACTTGCTACGTCACCCAGGCTGGCCTCTTCCTCACACCAACCCTCCTCCTCCCAGTTCAGCTTCCCAAGTGCTGCTGTTACAGGCAGGCACCACAATGCTTGGCAGCGAAGAATAAATTTTAAAAGAATAAATGGCACAAAAGAAAATCCGACAAAGGACAGTAAAATAAAGTTATCAAAAGACTATGAATAGACAATAAATGTTTAAATTATCAATTTTTACTAGCAATGTAAGAAATAACTGAACTAAATAATAAATAAACTTTTTCCTATCAAAATGGCAAATCCGGTTTTTTTCTTTCCATATAATCAGCATAAAGGCATGAATAGTCTGGTCAGAGTATGACGTTTACAACCCTTCTGGAAGGCAATTGCAAAATGCATCAAATGCTTTAAAAATGAGTATCTGTAGGCAGAATAAATTTACCAATTAGGTGAACTAACTACTGAATACTTCTAATTGTAGTATTTTATTTTGTTTTCTGGAATACTGGCCTTTGCACTGAGCTAGATTCTTAGGCCTTTTTACATTTTTTTCCCTTGAGACAAGATGTTAACTAAGCCACCCAGGTCACGTTCAAGCCTGGATCCTCCTGTCACAGCCTTCCAGAGCGCTGGAGTTGCACAACCACTATCACTATCTTCTTTACTAAATGTTGTAAGGAAAAAATATTCAAATGACAAAAGCAGTTAAGTACTTAAAACTTTTCAAATGTGCTGTAACTGTTTTTGCGAAACATTCAAAAGTGGAAAAGAAAGTGATTTGGTCCAGGACGTGCAAGGCTGGGTCATACCGTTCCGGGGTTGGTAACGATCATGCCTTTGCATTCTTCTGCATACTTCTGCCACTCCAGCTCCTCCCACTGAAGCATATTAGCAATCTCCTCTTCCGGCACCAGGGCTTTGCTACACCGTAACAGGTACAGAAGAATCTGGTGCATGGACAGCACTTCCTTACCTCCATCTTGGGTGGGAGCAGAGAGAGGGGCGACAATGAGGCTAACTGATGAACAGCAAATCTTCAATTAAACAAGGAAAAGCAGGATGATGGAGGTAAAGAGCATGTCTGAAAAGGTCATTTAAGATTTGATACCACTTAACCAGGTGCCAAATAATACTAAAGTCATTTGTTTCACTGACGAACAGTGCTCCTAAACCATCTCATCTACTAAAATGGCAACAACATTATAAATGATAAAAGGTTCCATTTGTGAGGTGTGAATATAAAAAGCATCTGCCTAAATAAATTTAAAGCCAGCTAGCATAAAGAACCATAGTTTATGATATACAAAACCATGTTATGTCTTAAATATTTTATCATTCTTTCTAGAGTAACAGATGAAAGCTCTTTAGAAGTGATGTGATGGCCTTAAGGAAATTCTAAGCTTTTATGAGATATTTATGGATGTTTTCAATAAGCCATTGTTGCATTATGGTCTAATTTTCGGTGCTAATGTGCTGCACCTGCCGTGATGAACAAAGCTAAAGAGCCCGTACTAATATCATGGAAGATCATTATGGAGTACATGGAAATACACCAAGTGTTCCAAGGCTTAAGCTCTGCAGTGGGAGCAAGCTTTTCCCTATTATGTGCAATATGCCATGAGAAGTCCCATGTTATGATCATGTCATCCCAAAAACTCAGGATCTATAGGCCCTCTAATAGTACATAAGCTAACAATGGCTAATTACAACAGTTCTAGAAGAATCTTTGTAGATAACATTTTAAAAATAAAGTTCTCTTAAAAACAACTGAGACTCCCAGAACATTATTCTTCAAAAATGACAAAAATCACAAAACACAATCACACATAATAAAGACATGTTCTATCTACTAATTCATGCCATTGTCCATAGCAGTGAAATATTTTTAAGTCTCATTACAAAGCATCTGTCTTAAACCCAAAAGTCACCATTGATTAGCACATTCTCATGGTGTTACAGACTGAATGCTTTGGAGCCCTCCATAATTCAACTCCAAACCCTCACCCCCAGTGGGATGGTTTGGGAAGTAATTATGTCAGGTGACTGGAGCTCTCCTGGATAGGACCTGTGCTTTTATAAGAGACATGAGATGACAAGTGTTCATTCTGCTCTCCATCATGTGAAGACACAATGACAGCATAGCTAGCCGCAGTCCTCTCTAGAACACAGTCCTGCTGACTCTGGACTTGGACTTTCCATAGTGCTTGTTTTCTAACAGCACAAACTAAGACACGTGGTTGGGGCCATATTTCTCTAAATCAGCGTCAAAATGCATTTCAGTCCAATTGCATGTAATGTGTTCTTCAGTCAATGATATCCCCATCTTTGCTAAGCATGACAAACCCAGCATACCTGCCTCTTAGTCTGAGTCAATGAATCGTCTGCAATCTTACAGAAGGCTGAGGTGAGCAAGCAGACAAAAGAAATTCGAAAGTTAAACTATGTGACTGTACCCTGCATGTGCATAGATAGAAAGCAGCAGGAATGAAGAAAACCCAGACAGCCTTGAAAAGATTGCCACCTTAACTAGATTCATCAGGAACCAAAAAAAGAGAATGCTGGCATTGGCTCATAATCATAACAAAGCAGTAAGATTATTTAAGAGAACTGAGAAGGATACTTCGCTGGTCTAAGGTATAAGGATTGGAATGTGATTTTCCTGCAAGAATTTAACAATTTTTTATTTTATGGGGGAAGGGAATGGTAAAAGGAACAAATACACACAGACCCAAGTATATACACAGCACCAGATTCCCCAGAAGCATGTATGGTTGGGTGACTCCAGGTACTTTAGATGAAAGTAAATTGGATCACAGATACCGAATTTAAAGAAAAAGCTTTTTTACAAAGGTGCTGGGAGAGAGGAGTACTCACACTCACAAACCAGGGGTCTCTGTGCCAAATGAATGACACAGGTACTGCCCAAGTTTAGGAGAGGAGTAACTGCAAGATAGTAAACAAGGCCACTAAATGCCAACTACCTACAGTCTGGTGTGGGTCCAAAGTTGCCGGTGAGGTAGGAGTTTTACAGCATAGAAATCAGACATAATTTAAAAAAAAAAAACAACAAAATATACATACCAGATGCAAATTTGGTAATGCTGAAGAGAAACTCTAAACCCATGCTAAAATCTGCTAAATAGTTTATGTGGCAACTAAACTATAAAAAAAAGTTATTTACCATTGTGAAAAAAATAGAAACTCAAAACAGACATTCTGACATGCAAAGCTCAACAAGAAAGGGGGAATTGAAACACTGCTCCATATCTGGCATGGGGTTCAATCTTTATAGAAATGCAAGAGGAGACAAATCAAATCAGAGTTCTACCAAGGCATGGAGCACGGACTGTATCCCACACACCCAGTACGGGGAAAGAAAAAACCCACTCATAAATACTTGTGGAATGACTTTCTGAAGCAGATAAATAACACAGCCACTTGCTCTCAGACGACTGTGAATTTACTAATGTTAATGAATTGGCGCTTTGGGTTTGTCTGCTTCGTTACATGTTTATGTTGGGGATTTATGGAACTGTGTCACTAAGGGCTAGGAAGTAATTTTTATCTCGTTGGCTGGGATAAATAGGACATGATATAAATGAGAAATTAGAGCGGGTAAGCTAAGGTTAGCAGGAATTTTGCCAGCGCTGGGGCTGGAACCGTGACAACGGCTCATTATTCGGGAAGAACTAGAGTTTGTGTTTCAGGGAATGAATCTGGACAGTCATTAATGAACTGACAGACTTTATAAACTGTTTCTTAGAGACCCAATTCTCCCAGTTTATATTGCTTGCTTATTTATATGGTTATTCGGAAGAGGGGGAAATTTGTTAGGGAATTTTTATTGACTACATGGCTGCTTAAACGAGTATTTAGCAACTAGATAGCACTAAATTTTAAGAAATACCAAAAAAAAAACTTCCTTTCTCCACATTTATGTAACTGCATAATTGTATTATGTCTTCTGTATATTCTTATAAAGATGACTTGATATAATCATTTTCTGAAATCTGAAAATCTGAGCATCTGCTAAATTTTCTAAAAACAAGGTTATATGAAGATGCTGTATCAATGTGTGTTTTTTTCAAACTACATTTTCTTTCTAGAAATTTGGAGATTCTTCTCTCACCCCTCTGGTCTCCTGCCAGCATACCCGAGAACTACTGTTCCAGATGGGGCAAATTCCAAAAATCAATTTGCCAGACAGTCAATTTGCAAAATTGACTCAGGAGTTTCAATGCTTCATACAGTAATGGTGCCAGCCTGTGAATAGGCTTTCCTCTCTGTGCAATGTTACTGTCTCAAAGCGTGCCTCACCCCAGCCAGTTACAGTAAGAATAAAACCTTAAACTGGTGTATAGTTGTCTATAAACAAAAGGAAGAACGGGACAGGGAAAAAAACAAAATTTGAAAAAAATCCTTAAAATCTCAATAAATTAGTTGCTTTGTAATGTGTGACTTGGCATTTGGCAAATGGGCCCAAGGGCAGGAAGCCCTGGATTAAACTACTAAGCTTAACTTTGTAAATCTGTGCAAAGCAACCGAAACAGCTGTCTTTAAAGGGGGCAAATTAAGGAACCAAAGAAACATAATGACGACTGACAAAACTTGAACATTCAAAAAAAAAAAAATAAATAAACTGATTTAAATAAAAAGCAAGTAAGAATGAGATTAAAACATTCAAAGTATCTGAAAAGCTACTCATCTCAAACAAATTCAAGAAATACGCAAGCTGACAATATTATGTTTGCTTACCAGATGAATAAAATTATAAAAGACTAGTACTACCCAGTTGACAGGTAACAGAAAAAGGATACTTAAAAAAATTTTTTTTGGTCAGAAATACAAATGTCCTTTCTGGAGAGAATCTGGCCAGCTTTCCAAGTTTAAAATGTGCATATTATTTCACCAAGTATTCTCATTTGTAAGGGAAGGGAAGAACATGCCAAGTGCTGAACAGAGTGTAAAATAATGTGAACTCCCTTATACTTCTGATGAGAAGATAGACAATATTGTCATGCTGAAACACTGAAAGTGCAAAATTTAACATATAATCACACCGAAAGACAAGTGCAAGTCTTCAGTGACCATATTATCTACTAGAGCATATGTTTACTAAAGATCTGTACATATTTTTTAAACTAAACTTTGTACTTCTTTTCACATTTATATGTGAAATCTAGAAATAATCAAATGTTCATTAGTCATGGATAGGTTTTAATTACACCACATAAAATCTATATAGCAGTGAGAAGGAAATTGCTACAGTATAGCTAATTGCAAAAACACATCTC